TGCGGGCCTGTGGAGAACAGGAGGATACGGTCAAAATCAGGGCAAAGAAAGGTGCATTTTGTGCAGAAAATGGCACAATTGTGCACAATCATGTTCACACATGATATGATGCACTATAGCGTACTGTACAATTATGAAAGGGTTTCATGTTGGCCATAATGTGATGTAAGTGCAAGTGCAACACAGGGAACTAAGTATCCTATAAAATAAATGAAGAGCAAGCTGCCCAGCTTTGTGGGCACTGCAGCTATGTAGTAGGCTAAACGTGCGTATAAAGGCCTTTAATTTCTTTAGGTCTACTGTATCGTTTTCTGTTTGTTTTGTGTAAACTTGTCATGCAACTCGATTGTTTGGCAGGCCTGCAATATAGCCTATATTCTGTGCGTATGCAATTATGGCCTTGATGTAAAATGTGTGTGTGGTAAGGTAAGGTCTCTCCACCCAGCAGTAGCAACTCATGGCTTATAATCGTAAAAGAGTTGAAAACACGCCTAGGTGGATTAGTATGTGATTCAATGTTATTATAGTTTTCAGTTTTTATATTAGTTTTTATTTTATTAGTTTTTTCGATTTTATTTTAAATTCAGTTTAGTTTCCCGAATTGATTTACTAGTTTTTATTCCGTTTTAGTTTGATAAAAACATTCCTATTTCGTTTTTACATTATTTAGTTTCAGTTTTAGTGTTAGTGAAAAGAGTATTCTACTGGTTTGTGACCCACTGACACCGCCAAGAGTTGACACACACAATAACTTTATTTACACACGCTGGAGATGTACATGGGGATGTACATGGGGATGAAAAGTGGGAAAGGTAGTGGTGCTGTAATGGACAGAAACAGAGGTAATGAATACACACATACCAAATGAATACACCAGGGCACAAATGCACAGATACAGAATCTTAGCAGTAAGGACAGTATAGATTGCATATGTCACCTGCAGAGTATTACATAACACAGTAAACTCAGAGGGGCAACATACAATAGGCAATAGTAGTAACTAACTATGAAGAACAATATACAAATGTCACACAACTCACTTTGGGCACACACACCATCCCACAAGTCCAGATATATAAATGAGTCCAGTTGTTAATGGGCTGAGACAGAGATGTTGCTCTCTGCCACTGCCTGAGGGAGACTCCAAGTATTTTGTGACCTGTATAGTCAAGAGGATGGACAGATGTCTGGCCCCCTAGTAAACTCCCTAGCAACCTATCAGGACACAGGTCAGAGAGAGTTTGAGAGGCAGGTTTATGGTACCCCCTAGACTCTCAGGATCTGGTTGTGGGGGATGGAGAGTGGAGTGTGCAGCTCAGGATTGTGAGGTGATAACAACAGTCACCGGCAGGGAATTCGTAACAGTTAGGGACAGAAAGAAGTGTATGCATGGGAGGCTAGGAACCATTTATGTGTTTAAGGTTGTATTTCTTCCCTGTTAGCTAGTGATAGCTAGTAGTCTCGGAAATCCCAGGCCTAGAGAAACAGCTCTAGGTATGGGGAGGATGTCAGATTCTCTTGGACATTTTGGAGAAGAAAAAAACTCACTGGAGGGGCAAAACCTTTGCATTGGTTTTAGTGAAGGTAGATGATGCAAACTAGCCACTTGCGAAATGCACTTATTAAAAATAACCTCCGCTTTTTCCATCTCGCTAACTAGCTAGCTACTAATTTGTGTCCGACGGGAATGTTGACGCTAGGGCAACAAGCGGATAAAGCTGTGACGTCACCGGATAAGCCAGTGACGTGCTTCCCTGTTCCATAGAGATGTATAGAGATAATTACATGGAAATAACCCATTCTTCCACCATTGTAATGTAGTCAACTGGGTGGGGATTCCTATGGGTTGGGAGTGATTAGCCAGTGATCAGAGCATAGTCTTCTTCTTCAAATTGGTTTGCCTAGTTTGTAAATGGCTTTAAGCTATATGACCGCCATCTAGTGGGCACAATAAATAAATTACACACAAGATTTGGTTCAAGACTCCAGCACTGCAGGTGGTGGTTAGTCACCAAAATTAGCTTTACACTTTTTTCAAACATCAAAAAAAGAAGTAAACGGACTACTTTAAAATGAAGATAACCTCAATGGCGGGCCCAGGTCATCAGAAGGGATCAGCCAATTAATTATACTTGTGAACAAATATTCCATAACTGCAGGTGGCAGTAAATCGCCAACCTTGGCTTTATACTTATTCAAACAACACACTCCAGGTGGCAGTATGCACCTTTCAGTTTGTTTACCAACTTATAGAAGTAGTAGAAGAAGATAATAGACTACTTCAAAATGGAGATGGCCTCAATGGTGTGCCCGTGTGCTCACAGACGCCATAATCTCACCCACCAGCCTCTGTTGAACCGTCTGGTTTCCAAGTGCCTCAGAACTGGAGTTGACTTGAAGCCTATGGCAGGAGCGGACGAAACAACCACTGGTTTTAATTGGCTGATCTCTCAGTCCATCACTATCTAGTGCAACCCTTAGAACCTCCCCCGAAGTGTGCTGCATTTGGGAGCCAGTATTGTTTTTGTGTTTGTGTGCAACAAAGATAACTTGGTTAGCTCGCGCAATATGGATATTCTCTTTCTCGAAATAAATGGCCTATTCTCGCCAATTCAAAGCTGCATTTGTAGTATCACAGAGATGTGTCCAACAATCTCCTCCAGTGCTTTACAGAAGTTGTAGCGTTCTGCATCATTGCCATTGGTACTGAAAAGACTGTGCTTGTACTTTTTACTGGGATAGTGTTCTGCACAACTACGACATACATCATTCTGCCTTTGATGGCGTGTCTTTACCTTTTCTATTTGAAGGGAAGGGAAGGAAAAGGGGATACATAGTCAGTTGCACAACTGAATCCATTCAAACATGTTACAGGACGTCTAGCAGAGTTACACTGGCTAGCTACGTATTAGCATGAACGGCAATATTTGAATTGATTATCATGTCACCCAGTAAGTCCACACCCCAAACAGTCCCAAACAGTCCCACACTGTTACCAGGCTCTATGCACCAGCAAGTCGAGCATGGGGACGAGGTTACAGACGCCATAATGGGACAGATACACAGTTGCGATCTCTATACATCTCTATGGTTGGAACATTGTTACATTGTGGGAGGCAACCAGTCTAGACTAGATAGCTAGTGATAGTGTTTTGAAACATCACCATCTCCTGGCACCATTTACCTGCCAGATTCAGAAGCTTGTAAACCCCATTAGAAAAATAAGACAGCGTGTATGTGTGTGTGTGTTTTTAGTTTTACTATCCTTGTGGGGACCAGAAGTCCTCTCAGGGATAGTAAATCAAGAAAAATTTGGACAAGTTGGGGCATTTTGCCTGTCCCCACAAGGAAAAAGGCTATTTTAGGCCTAGGGGTCAGGTTTAGGGTTAGGGTTACAATTAGGGTTAAAATTAGGGTTAGGGGTTAGGGTTAGGAGTTAAGGTTAGGTTTAGGGTTAAGGTTAAGGTTAGGGTTAAGGTTAGGGTTCAATTAAAGGTTTAGGGTTAAGGGTTAGGGGTTAGGGAAAATAAGATTTTGAATGGGAATCAATTGTTTGGTCCCCACAAGGATAGTAAAACAAACATGTGTGTGTGTCTGTGTGTGTCTGTGTGGTTGTGTGAGCGTGTGCGCGCATGTTTGGGTACAGGTAGGCCTACCCACAAAATAGCATCCTCCCTTGATTATGGATATACTATTCAAAGAGGTGAGTCCAGTCAAGTCCTTGTAATGGATGATTGACGGACGGTGAGCAGCGGTGCCCAACCAATCTGTTGGTGGAACCCCAACTTGGAATTCCAACTACCTCCCTACCAGCGTTCCGATGCAAAAGCTCCATTAACAGGCCACTGAATGAACAGGAATTCGCAACAATGGCGCTAGGACACAGCTGAGTGAGCATCACCCTCCGCGAGCCTCTCGAATACACAGGACCACTGACGCGAAGCACAATGCTTCCTTTTCAACATCCGGCTCTACTTCTTACCACGTGGAGAGGTAATGAAAGGGAGGGACAGCCAGAGTGAGAGATTTTTTAAAATAGTTTTTTACTGGACCTACTCGTACCCACACACACACACACAAACACACACACACACACACACACACACACACACACACACACACACACACACACATACACACACAGCTATGTCTTACTATACTTCTGAGGACTTTTTGGGGACCAATTGATTTCGATTCAAAATCCTATTTTCCCTAACCCCTAACCCTAACCCTAATTCTAACCCCAACCCTAAACCTAACCCCTAAGATAGCCTTTTTACAAGTGAGGACCGCAAAAATGTCCTCACTTCTCTGAATTTTAGTTGGTTTACTATTCTTGTGACTTCTGGTACTCACAAGTATAGTAAAACTTGTAGACAGACACAAAGAGACAAATCAAATCAATTGAGAGGTGTAAAGTAATTGGCCTACTGTTCTTCATCAAATGTAGGCTATACAGACTAAAATAAAATGTAGTACAGTATTTAAGTTTTATTTGCGTCATGTGGACGTAAAACTTTAGTATTTACTGAAATCAATGGACTGACATTTTTGGGGTACACATGATTGTATTTGTCTGAAAGACAGAACGTGATGGGCTTTTGTGGGTGAGGTGGAGGCAAGAGGAGTGAGGAGGGAGTCATGGCTCAAAAGAAGTGGTGTTCATTCGCCATTTGAATGCAAATGTAGTGGTTGAACAAGAGGACTATGTGTGTGTGTGTGTTTTGTGGGAGAAGGGGAGGGGGGGTCTAATGGTGAGTTTGAGAAAAGAAGACTTGTTGAGAGAAGAAATTGACACACATGCCTGTAGTCTTCACAAGGTTTTCACTTTTGCACCACGATGCCACCAACGGAGTTGGACATTTGTGTCGGAAAATTAACCTGTGCTTCTCTTCTAATTCGCGTAATTTAGTTAACCACTTTTTCAGTGTGCAGGGAGAAAAAAATCTAAGCATTCTGTTGGCCCATGTACCGCTGCATCAGTCGCGTCCTGCTGAAGCATGTCTCGTCGGAAACAGAAACGACCCCAGCAGCTCATGAGCCCGCTCCCTGCCGCCTCTCCAATACTAGAGCATGGTGAGGAATTGACTATTATTGATATGCAGGTCAACAACTGAATACAATAGCTATTAGTATGGAAATAATTAACTTTTTGTATTGTGTTGTCAAATGTTAGTTTTTCTCCATTTGTGTTATTCAAAATATAGATTAACAGGGTTTTCAAATAAATAGGCCAAGTTGTTATGCTGTTTTTTTGGAAATATATTTTTCTGGGTAGTTAATACCTTTATTTCCTCTACAGAACAGTGATTGTGTATATACTACCTGTCACCTGGAAAGTTTTGGCGATAGTTTTATTGAAAATGTTGACCCTATCTCTGACAGTTCAAAGTCTAAAGTTTTGGGGATGCTATGATGCTCCTTTTAATATGTCAGCAATAGTGTCATAATATTGCATTTATTGTGTTATAGGAGTCTTTTGTTTTCTGCTTTCTGATCCTTTTTATTAGTGTATTTGTTTTTTCCTTCTCACTGCCCTCACCAACCCTCCTTGTATTGGCAGATTCAAAGACACAGACCACCCAGTTAGTGGGCATATAAAGAGGAGGAAAGATGAAAACGTAGAGGCAATACAGTGTAGAGAAGATGTTACAGTGTTACACTGAAAAGTCTTATAAACTCTATCATTCCAAATATGCGTATTTCGATTTTGGAACGCCATTTAGGAGATGAGAGGGAGATGGTAGAGGAACTGATGACCGCGAGAGGTGCTTTATAAGGTGTTGTAACTGCAATAGCATGCAATCCCATTGTCCCTCTGGGGCTTTGTCGTTGAGTAGTGAGGCATAAACATACCCAAGAACTAGTGTGAATCTCGATGTGTGTGTGTGTGTATGTGTGTTTATATGCGTTTGTAGGTCTACGACCAGTCACAGAGGGCTAATTAGGTGTAATAATGTAGTAACATTGTAGTGGTAGGTTTTAGTAATATTGTGTGTGGTGTGTGTGTGTGTGTGTGTATGTGCTTGTCTCTGTGTGTGTGTGTGTGTGTGTGTGTGTGTAATGTGTGTGTGTGTGTGTAATGTGTGTGTGTGTGTGTGTGTGTGTGTGTGTGTGTGTGTGTGTGTGTGTGTGTGTGTGTGTGTGTGTGTGTGTGTGTGTGTGTGTGTGTGTGTGTGTGTGTGTGTGTATGTGTCTATATGTCAGGATTCCCCAACTGGCGGCTCACGGGCGGTTTTATTTGGCACCCAAGTTGTCTGAGCAAAATAAATATATATATACGTATATATACAGTTTATATAAATGTATACATTTTTTTGTTGAATTTTCGTTGTTGTACATAAGACTGTAAAAACACCAGGAAATCAGCTCCAAGTTATTTTTATTTTGGAAATATGTTCCCAAGTATTCCCACGCATAATAGAGAGATGTGATCGTATACAAATAATAATAATAAATAATAATTGATTGGATTTATATAGCGCTTTTCTACCAACTGAGGTACTCATAGCGGTTCACATACAGTGGTGGAGAAAGTACCAAATTGTCATACTTGAGTAAAAGTAAAAATACCTTAATAGAAAATGACTCAGGTAAAAGTAAAAGTCACCCAGTAAAATGCTACTTGAGTAAAAGTCTAAAAGTATTTGGTTTTAAATATACTTAAGTATCAAAAGTAAATGTACAGTAATTGCTAAAATATACTTAAGTTTTAAAAGTAAAAGTATAAATCATTTCATATTCCTTATATTATATATATCAGACAGCACCATTTTATTTTTTTCTTCAAATGTATGGATAGCCAGGGGCACACTCTAACACTGATATCATTTACAAATTAAGCATGTGTTTAGTGAGTCCGCCAAATCAGAGGCAGTAGGGAAGACCAGGGATGTTCTCTTGATAAGTGAGTGAATTGGACAATTTTCCTGTCCTGGTAAACATTCAAAATGTAACGAGTACTTTTGGGAGTCAGGGAAAATGTATGGATTAAAAAGTTTATTATTTTCTTTAGGAATGTAGTGAAGTAAAAGTTGTCAAAAATATATATAGTAAAGTACAGATACACCCAAAAATGACTTACTTTCAAGTATTTTTACTTAAGTACTTTACAACACTGTTTACATAGTAGGGGGAAACTCACCTCATCCACCATCAATGTGTAGCACCCACCTCAGTGATGCACGGTGACCATTTTTGTTCCAGAACGCTCACCACACATCAGCTATCAGGTGGAGAGATGAGGAGTGATATATGCCAATTAGGAATGAGGGGGATGATTAGGTGGCCATGATGGAATGTGGCCAGGTTGGGAATTTAGCCATGACATCGGGGTGAATACCCATACTTTTACAATAAGTGCCATGGGATTTTGAATGACCACAGAGAGTCAGGACACCCGTTTTAACGTCCCATCCGAAGGACGGCACATTACGCAAGGCAATGTCCCCAAAATATAATCAAGGTTTGAAATGATTATGCTTTAGTCAAATATTATATTTGTTTAGGCTTCTTGCGGTCAATTTGCAATCTAAAAATATTTGTTTTATTATGTTATTATGGGCTCCTGAGTGGCGCAGCGGTCTAAGGCACTGCATCGCAGTGCTTGAGACGTCACTACAGACCCCCTGGTTCGATTCCAGGCTGTATCACAACCGGCCGTGATTGGGAGTCCCATAGGGCGGCGCACAATTGGCCCAGCATCGTCTGGGTTTGGCCGGTGTAGGCCGTCATTGTAAATAAAAATGTGTTCTTAACTGACTTGCCTAGTTAAATAAAGGTTAACTAAAAAAATAAAAATATATATGTTCCGGCCCCCCGACCAGCCACTCAAGAAAAAATTGATGATCCCTGCTATACAGTGTATTTGGACCTGTTGACTTTTTCCACATTTTGTTATGTTACAGCCTTATTTAAAAAATACAAATCCTCATCAATCTACACACAATACCCCATAATTACAAAGCGAAAACTGTAACGTATGAAAATGTGGAAAAAGTCAAGGGGTCTGAATACTTTCCGAATGTACTGTATGTGTTTAAATGCGTTTGTAGGTCTGCGACCAGTATAGTTAGGTGTAATAGTTTAGTAACATTGTGGTGATATAGTGTAGTAATATTATGTTTGTTAATGTACAGTACCAGTCAAAAGTTTGGACACACCTACTCATTCAAGGTTTTTTCTTTATTTTTACAATTTTACATTGTAGAATAATAGTGAAGACATCAAAACTATGAAACAACACATATGGAATCATTTAGTAACCAAAAAAGTGTTAAACAAATCAAAATATATGTTATATTTGATATTCTTCAAATAGCCACCCTTTGCCTTGATGACAGCTTTGCACACTCTTGGCATTCTCTCAACCAGCTTCACCTGGAATGCTTTTCCAACAGTCTTGAAGGAGTTCCCACATATGCTGAGCACTTGTTGGCTGCTTGTCCTTCACTCTGCGGTCTGACTTATCCCAAACCATCTCAATTGAGTTGAGGTCGGGGGATTGCGGAGACCAGGTCATCTGATGCAGCACTCCATCACTCTCCTTCTTGGTAAAATAGCCTTTACACTGCCTGGAGGTGTGTTGGGTCATTGTCCTGTTGAAAAACAAATTATAGTCCCACTAAGCCCAAACCAGATGGGATGGCATATCACTGCAGAATGCTGTGGTAGCCATGCTGGTTAAGTGTGCCTTGAATTCTAAATAAATCACAGACAGTGTCACAAGCAAAGCACCCCCACACCATAACACCTCCTCCTCCATGCTTTACGGTGGGAACTACACATGCAGAGATCATCCGTTCACCCACACCGCGTATCACAAAGACACGGCAGTTGGAACCAAAAATCTCAAATTTGGACACATTTCCACCGGTCTAATGTCCATTGCTCGTGTTTCTTGGCCCAAGCAGGTCTCTTCTTCTTATTGGTGTCATTTAGTAGTGGTTTCTTTGCAGCAATTTGACCGTATAAGCAAAAACTAAAGCAGGAAGCACCAGTGACTCTGTTAATAAAAAAGTGGTCAGATGACGCAGATGCTAAGCTACAGGACTGTTTTGCTAGCACAGACTGGAACATGTTCCGGGATTCTTCAGATAGCATTGAGGAGTACACCACATCAGTCACTGGCTTCATCAATAAGTGCATCGATGACGTCGTCCCCACAGTGACCGTACGTACATACTCCAACCAGAAGCCATGGATTACAGGCAACATCCGCACTGAGCTAAAGGGTAGAGCTGCCACTTTCAAGGAGCGGGACTCTAACCCGGACGTTTATAAGAAATCCCGCTATGCCCTCCGACGAACCATCAAATAGGCAAAGAGTCAATACAGGACTAAGATTGAATCGTACTACACCGGCTCTGACCCTCGTCGGATGTGGCAGGGCTTGAAAACTATTACAGACTACAAAGCACAGCCGCGAGCTGCCCAGTGACACAAGCTTACCAGATGAGCTAAACCACTTCTATGCTCGCTTCGAGGCAAGCAAAACTGAAGCATGCATGAGAGCACCAGCTGTTCCGGATGACTATGTGATCACACTCTCCGTGGCCGATGTGAGTAAGACTTTTAAGCAGGTCAACTTTCACAAGGCCACAGGGCCAGACGGATTACCAGGACGTGTACTCCGAGCATGTGCTGACCAACTGGCAAGTGTCTTCACTGACATTTTCAACATGTCCCTGACTGAGTCTGTAATACCAACATGTTTCAAGCAGACCATAGTCCCCGTGCCCAAGGACACTAAGATAACCTGCCTAAATGACTACCGACCCGTAGCACTGACGTCTGTAGCCATCAAGTGCTTTGAAAGGCTGGTCATGGCTCACATCAACACCATTATCCCAGAAACCCTAGACCCACTCCAATTTGCATACCGCCCCAACAGATCCACAGATGATGCAATCTCTATTGCACTCCACACTGCCCTTTCCCACCTGGACAAGAGGAACACCTACGTGAGAATGCTATTCATTGACTACAGCTCAGCGTTCAACACCATAGTGCCCTCAAATCTCATCACTAAGCTAAGGATCCTGGGACTAAACACCTCCCTCTGGTAGGTAACAACACATCTGCCACGCTGATCCTCAACACGGGGACCCCTCAGGGGTGCGTGCTCAGTCCTCTCCTGTACTCCCTGTTCACCCATGACTGCATGGCCAGGCACGACTCCAACACCATCATTAAGTTTGCCGACGACACAACGGTGGTAGGCCTGATCACCGACAACGATGAGACAGCCTATAGGGAGGAGGTCAGAGACCTGGCCGTGTGGTGCCAGGATAACAACCTCTCCCTCAACGTGACCAAGACAAAGGAGATGATTGTGGACTACAGGAAAAAAAAGAGGACTGAGCATGCCCCCATTCTCATCGACGGGGCTGTAGTGGAACAGGTTGAGAGCTTCAAGTTCCTTGGTGTTCACATCACCAACAAACTATCATGGTCCAAACGCACCAAGACAGTTGTGAAGAGGGCACGACAAAGCCTATTCCCCCTCAGGAGACTGAAAAGATTTGGCATGGGTCCTCAGATCCTCAAAAAGTTATACAGCTGCACCATCGAGAGCATCCTGACTGGTTGCATCACCGCCTGGTATGGTAATTGCTCGGCCTCCTACCGCAAGGCACTACAGAGAGTAGTGCGTACGGCCCACTATATCACTGGGGCCAAGCTTCCTGCCATCCAGGACCTCTATACCAGGCGGTGTCAGAGGAAGGCCCTCAACATTGTCAAAGACTCCAGCCACCCTAGTCATAGACTGTTCTCTCTGCTACCGCAAGGCAAGCGGTACCGGAGCGCCAAGTCTAGGTCCAAAAGGCTTCTCAACAGCTTCTACCCCCAAGCCATAAGACTCCTGAACAGCTAATCATGGCTACCCGGACTATTTGCATTGTCCCCCCTACACCCCACCCCACCCCACCCCCTCTTTTACGCTGCTGCTACTCTGTTAATTATTTATGCATAGTCACTTTAACTCTACCCACATGTACATATTACCTCAACTACCTCAACTACCTCAACTAGCCGGTGCCCCCGCACATTGACTCTGCACCGGTACCCCACTGTATATAGTCTCCCTACTGTTATTTTATTTTATTCATTTCATTTCATTTGAACAGTTGATGTTGAGATGTGTCTGTGACTTGAACTCTGTGAAGCATTTATTAGGGCTGCAATTTCTGAGGCTGGTAACTCTAATGAACGTATCCTCTGCAGCAGAGGTAACTCTGGGTCTTCCATTCCTGTGGCAGTCCTCATGAGAGCCAGTTTCATCATAGAGCTTGATGGTTTCTGCGACTGCACTTGAAGAAACTTTAAAAGTTATTGAAATGTTCCTTATTGATTGACCTTCAAGTCTTAAACTAATTATGGACTGTCGTTTCTCTTTGCTTATTTGAGCTGTTCTTGCCATAATATGGACTTGGTATTTTACCAAATAGGGCTATCTTCTGTATACCCCCCCTACCTTGTCACAACACAACTGATTGGCTCAAACAAATTAAGAAGGAAATAAATTCCACAAATTAACTTTTAAGAAGGCACACCTGTTAATTGAAATGCATTCCAGGTGACTACCTCATGAAACTGGTTGAGAGAATGCCAAGAGTGTGCAAAGCTGTCATCAAGGCAAAGGGTGGCTATTTGAAGAATCTCAAATATCAAATATATTTTGATTTGTTTAACACTTTTTTGGTTACTACATGATTCCATATGTGTTATTTCATAGTTTTGATGTCTTCACTATTATTCTACAATGTAAAAAATAGTACAAATAAAGAAAAATCCTTGAATGAGTAGGTGTGTCCAAACTTTTGACTGGTAGTGTAGGTCTGTGTGTGTGTGTGTGTGTGTTTGTGTGTGTGTGTTTTGGTAGTGAAGTGTGGTCTTGATGGTTTGTGAGTCATCATGTCTGGTAGCCTGTTTGTTTTCTTTTGGCCCCACCTCTTCCTCTGCCTGCCCAGAACTAGAATAAATGTGTGACCCCAGTGTTCTTAAGGTCATGTCTGCCTGCCAATCACGTCTGCCTGACCCTGACACCCTACTGGGTAATGGGGGAAGGGTGCATCAAGAGATGAAAGACAGAACAAATGGAGAGAGAGCGAGAGAGAGCGAGAGAGAGCGAGAGAGAGAGAGGAGAGAGAGAGAAGAGAGAGAGAGAGAGAGAGAGAGAGAGAGAGAGAGAGAGAGAGAGAGAGAGAGAGAGAGAGGAGAGATGAGAGAGAGAGAGAGAGAGAGAGAGAGAGAGATAGAGAGTATGATGAGGAGAGAGAGAGAGACTCATGATCGAGATAGGAGAGAGAGAGCTATATATAGCTATAGGGAGAGAGAGAGAGAGAGTGCATGTCTATACAGTGTGGGAAAAAAGTATTTAGTCAGCCACCAATTGTGCAAGTTCTCCCACTTAAAAAGATGAGAGAGGCCTGTAATTTTCATCATAGGTACACGTCAACTATGACAGACAAATTGAGAGAAAAAAATTCCAGAAAATCACATTGTAGGATTTTTTATGAATTTATTTGCAAATTATGGTGGAAAATAAGTATTTGGTCACTTACAAACAAGCAAGATTTCTGGCTCTCACAGACCTGTAACTTCTTCTTTAAGAGGCTCCTCTGTCCTCCACTCGTTACCTGTATTAATGGCACCTGTTTGAACTTGTTATCAGTATAAAAGACACCTGTCCACAACCTCAAACAGTCACACTCCACACTCCACTATGGCCAAGACCAAAGAGCTGTCAAAGGACACCAGAAACAAAATTGTAGACCTGCACCAGGCTGGGAAGACTGAATCTGCAATAGGTAAGCAGCTTGGTTTGAAGAAATCAACTGTGGGAGCAATTATTAGGAAATGGAAGACATACAAGACCACTGATAATCTCCCTCGATCTGGGGCTCCACGCAAGATCTCACCCCGTGGGGTCAAAATGATCACAAGAACTGTGAGCAAAAATCCCAGAACCACACGGGGGGACCTAGTGAATGACCTGCAGAGAGCTGGGACCAAAGTAACAAAGCCTACCATCAGTAACACACTACACCTCCAGGGACTCAAATCCTGCAGTGCCAGACGTGTCCCCCTGCTTAAGCCAGTACATGTCCAGGCCCGTCTGAAGTTTGCTAGAGTGCATTTGGATGATCCAGAAGAGGATTGGGAGAATGTCATATGGTCAGATGAAACCAAAATATAACTTTTTGGTAAAAACTCAACTCGTCGTGTTTGGAGGACAAAGAATGCTGAGTTGCATCCAAAGAACACCATACCTACTGTGAAGCATGGGGGTGGAAACATCATGCTTTGGGGCTGTTTTTCTGCAAAGGGACCAGGACGACTGATCCGTGTAAAGGAAAGAATGAATGGGGCCATGTATCATGAGATTTTGAGTGAAAACCTCCTTCCATCAGCAAGGGCATTGAAGATGAAACATGGCTGGGTCTTTCAGCATGACAATGATCCCAAACACACCGCCCGGGCAACGAAGGAGTGGCTTCGTAAGACGCATTTCAAGGTCCTGGAGTGGCCTAGCCAGTCTCCAGATCTCAACCCCATAGAAAATCTTTGGAGGGAGTTGAAAGTCCGTGTTTCCCAGCGACAGCCCCAAAACATCACAGCTCTAGAGGAGATCTGCATGGAGGAATGGGCCAAAATACCAGCAACAGTGTGTGAAAACCTTGTTAAGACTTACAGAAAATGTTTGACCTGTGTCATTGCCAACAAAGGGTATATAACAAAGTATTGAGAAACTTTTGTTATTGACCAAATACTTATTTTCCACCATAATTTGCAAATAAATTCATTAAAAATCCTCTCATCTTCTTAAGTGGGAGAACTTGCACAATTGGTGACTGACTAAATACTTTTTTTCCCCACTGTATATGCGTGTCTTTTTTCAGAGTTCAGGGTTGTAAGAGGTTTTAGGGTCCATTGTCCTCTGTCCGGCGTTGCTGTGGAAACAAGGTAGACAGCTCATGCTGGAAGGTGTAGTCTTGCAAGCCAGGGGAATTTGGTGTGTGTGTGGGGGGGGGGGGGGGGGTTGACAAGGACAGAGACGATAAGGAGTGAAGTGAAGAGGAAAGAGAGGGGGAGTTTGGATGATGAGGTGGTGGAGAAGAGAACAAAGAGGCAAACTGGGCCTGGATCTGGTGTTCACCTGACAGCATGGTCTCCAAATGTATAGATGTTATCTGAGGGCTTCAGTCCTATCTGCTACTACTTGCAAAATCACAATTCTCAGAGGGACAGAGGCATTTTATTTACTCGTAGTTGTTACCTCTATGATGGATTTGATTCAGTTGCTTTTCCTTGCTATCCACTGATCATCATTGGTGTGTCAACACTCACTGTCAGATAAGGTTGACCGGTGGAAAACACTCTCAAAAGGGCATTCTGAGTAGTGCTCAAATAGATTTTTATGAACCGAAAGTGGTAAAAGTGTGTTAAGTAGATTCAAAGCTTTGTCTTGCTCAATATTACAATAACTAAGTCAACTTTCTCTCTTGTCTTCTTTCTAAAAAAAAATTCAGATGACCAGTTGGCAGTGAAGTCATTTTCCTTTCCTCTGACCACAGACTCCTCCTCCTCCTCATCTTCCTCCTCTCCTCAGAGCTACCACCCCCCCCTGGCTCAAGGTCCCTACTTCGGGAGGCTTCACACCCCCTCTCTACCTAGCGAGGGCTCCCCCCTCTCCCGCTCCCCCTGCCAGACCACTCCCTGCCCCATCTCCCTCACAGACCCCCAGTCCTCCTTCTCCCCTGACTTCCCCGATCCCTCCCTCTCCTCCCAGACAGTCCGGAGCCTCCCCAACATCACCTCCACGTCACCTTCCAGTCAGACCCACCCTCCCCGCTCTCTCATGGCCTCTCCCAAGCTAGGCGTGTCAGCCACTACCACCTCCTCCTCCTCCTCCTCTTCATCAGCCTCCCTCTGTCCCCCGCCCCACCCTGGCAGCCCTAGCCCTGTGCCAGAGGGCCCCCCAGCCCCGTGACACCCTCCCCAAGCCCGGGCACTGCCTCTGCCCCTCCACCCCGTGCCCACCTTAGCATTGCAGTGATCCTGGAGGAGCTGCGGGTGCTGCAGCAGAGGCAAATCCACCAGATGCAGATGACGGAGGAGATCTGCAGGCAGGTGCTGCGGTTGGGTGGGGCCTCCTGTGCCCTGGAGGTGCCCCAGATCCTGCCTCCTCTGCCCCAGCTCTGTCTGGAGGGCAGTGAGAGGACCTCCAGTCCCCCCCAGCCTACACCCACCCAGCCTCCTAACTCTGTAGCCCCTCTCCTGGCATGCTTCTCCGCCCTGCTCCCTCCCCAGCCTGCCTCCAAGCCCTCCAAGCCCAGCCACACCCTGTCCCATGTCCTGCGTCCACACAAGCCTCAGATGGAGGGTGCAGGAGGGGCTACTGGGTCTTATCTTTACCCTGGGACCAGTGTCCGCCCTTCCTCCTCCTCTTCTTCCTCCTCTGCCTCGTCTGCCATCTCCACCATGGCTTCCTCCAACTACCCCCTGGCCCTCTCCCTGGCCTTGCCCACTCGTTTCCTCCATGAGAAATCCACCAACACCACCTTAGCCAGCAGCCACAGTGGTCTGTCCTTCCTCACCCCGTCCCTGCCCACCACTGCTTCTATGGCACCCCCCTCCTCTCAGGAGCCCCACCTGTCTGTCTCCTCAGCAGGGTCCTTGTCCTCCTCCCTGGGGCGTCTGCAGCATGCCTGTCGGTTCTGTGGGAAGCTGTTCAGCAGTGACTCGTCCCTGCAGATCCACCTGCGCTCCCACACAGGCGAGAGGCCCTACCAGTGCCCTGTCTGCCTCAGCCGCTTCACCACCCGCGGCAACCTAAAGGTGCACTTCCTCCGCCACCGCGAGCAGAACCCAGAGCTCTCGCTCTCCCTCCTCCCCCCCTCCCTGTTTGGGACGGGTATGGGACCAGCGGGGGGGTCTGAGCTCCATGGTCAGCCAATGAGCAGCACTGGTCTGAGCGTAAGCGCAGCGCATGCTCAGAGGCGTCGTAAACGACGGGCTGAGGATGACCCGTATGGAGACGGTATGGAGGTGGATGGTGCCGGAGGGGGCTTCTCTCTGGGGGTGTCCACTGGTGCTCCCCCCTCTTCACTCCCCCTGCCCCCCAGTGTGGACCTGGCCCTCATCTCCACCGCCCACTCCCTCCTGCGGCTCAACCAAGCCGCTGCTGCAGCTGCCGCTGCCTCCATATCCTCTGCTGCTTCCTCACTCACATCCTCTTCTTCCTCCTCTGCGTCCTCCTCCCTCGCCTCCTCCCACCTCTCTGTCCCCTCCTCGTCCGCCTCCGCCATTGCTGGGTTCTTTAAGGGGGCCAAGCAGCAGTGCTTTGATGAGAACACGCCCCCTCACCTTCCCATGATGTCTCACGCTGCTTATTCCCAGCTAGCCCACCTCCCTAAACTCCTCTTCCCATCTGGTTCCCCCCACCATCACCCTGCCTTGGGCCTACTCCGCCCTCCACCCCCTGCTCCAGGCTCTTCCCACCTATCCGCCCACTCTCAGCTCTCCTTCCCTTTCTCCCACTACCCCAAAGCCCAGGCCTTCACCTCCTCCCCCTCCACCTCCTCCTCCACCCCCTCCTCAGACACCTCCAAGCTGCAGAGGTTGGTGGAAAAGCTGGAGAAGGAGCCTCCCACCTCCTCTCCCTGGGCCTCCTCCTCAGGTGAGACCTCTCACAGCAGCATGGCCTCCGCTGGGTTGTTCAGCAGCGGCCTCATGGGCGCTAGTACCTCCAGCACCTACGTGATGGCCTCCCCACCATCCTCCACCCACGCCCCCACCTCCGTCTCCAACTTCACCAGAGAGATGGTGGCCGCTCTGGGCATGAGTGCCAATGGGGGCAGCGCTCTGGCAGGCGCTATGCTCCCCGGCCTGGGCATCATAAGCACTGGCTCCCTGGCCCCCAACCAGTGTGGGGTATGTCTACGTGTGCTGAGCTGCCCCAGGGCACTGCGTCTGCACCAGGCCACCCACCTGGGTGAGCGCCCCTTCCCGTGTAAACTGTGTGGACGCTCCTTCTCCACCAAAGGCAGCCTGCGGTCCCACCTGGCCACCCACCGTGCCCGCCCGCCCAACTCCCGCGCCCAAAACTCCTGCCCACTGTGCCAGCGCAAGTTCACCAACGCACTGGTGCTGCAACACCACATCCGCATGCACCTGGGAGGGCAGCTGCCACCGGAGGGCGCTCCGGATTCTCTGTCAGAGCCCTTAGCAGATCCAGACTCTATCTCCCAGTCCCAGCCCCAGCCCAATTACACCCCCAATGTGTCTACTGAGAGCTTCACTGCAGCCTCAGGCAGCCAGTCAAAGAGCTCAGCAGCGTCCACCCACATTCAAACCCTAGTAGGAGGCTCTGCCCCCATATCTGTCAGTGTGACATCACCAGCATGTGTTGGGGAGCCGAGCAGATCTCACTCCTCCAGCCCTGAACTGATCCCGCCCTCTGACCTCAGCCCTGACCCCTTCCTAAACCCCACCTCACATACCCCTCCACCTGGCAGCGCCGACCCCCCGGTCCTGTGTGTCAGCGTGCCCTCCCCATCTCCAGCCCTGAGAGATTCAAGCTCCCCAGTCAGTGATGACAAACATGCTGAACTCCTTGATACAACCATTGATACTCCAGCCAGTAAGACAAGCCCTGCTCACACTTCCTCCAGTGTTCTCAAAACCACCTCCTTGTCCAGTCTCATGATGTCAGACTGTCTATTGGGTGAGAATTCCCTTCCTCTCGATGTCTTCTTCCCCGGCCCAAGATCAAACCTGGAAGATCTACTGAGCACTCCAACCCTTGGTGCCCCAGTAGCACACCCCAGCCCAGCCCCCTCCTTTACCTCTGTCCTTAGCCCAGAGCACCCTAAAACCTACCTAGCACCCACACTAGACCCAGAACAGCCCCCTAAACCCCACACCCCGGAGCCCACAGAGGAAGACAGGGTTGAAACCTCCCCACCTGCAACACCAAAGCAAGCCCCTGTGCTTGATATGGACCCCAGAATGGCACCACTATCAGAGACTACAGAGACAGGCGACACTGAGGCTAGGGATGTTCCCCAGAAAGCTGTCCCCTACACCAGGGAGACGAGGCATGGGGCATACCTCAGCTCCTATGGGAAGGAGGATGGGATGGGTGGTGTCAGAGACCGACTGGAAAGCACTGTTCCAATCAGTCTGGCTCCCACTCTCCCCTCTCCCATGTCTCGCCCTGAGAAGAAGACCTACAGCTGTGTCGAGTGTGGGAAAGAGTATGCCAGCCGCAGTGGACTGAAGGTAAGAAAATGGGGGAGAGAATGATGTGGGTATAGATTGGTGTGGGGTTGGTAAAAAATGTGATCCTCTCTTATGGACTACATGTTTATGGACTTCATGATAGCTACATTGAAGTTGTTTATTAATCTGTGGAATTGTACATTAGATGTTCAAAACGTTGCAACCAATGAACTTGACATTACTTCTAAAACTAGTTTGATCCGATAGTTGGTTTTCAGGTTACATTTAACTGAAACATTCACTGATGAGAAGGCTCCGTACAGACTGAGGTGAATCAGTCAAGCTAAATGTTTGTGATATAAATGTTATTTCCAGCCAGGGTGACTCAGAGGTTGGTCGGAGTGGCATTTATGAAATCTGTTATTTTTATGTTCATCCACAGGGACACATGAAGCATCATGGAGGGGTTGTCAAGGCAACACGTCCCCCTGTACGAAGCGGTCGCTCAGCGTCTGAGCGACTTCCTGCTAACTCACTTACAACGTCCTCCACCCCCCCAGCCACCAGGAGCAACGTGGGCTTCTGGAACCAGTACCAAGCCTTCCTCAACACCAGCAACGACCCGGCAGACGACCCGGCACAAGGCCCGACCAGTGGCAGCCAAGGAGAGGATGGAGAGATGCCCCGATTGGCTGAATCTCCTGTTAGATCCCAGCTGTCGAAGGAGCCGACCACTGGGAGGGGCTCAGGAGAGGGATCTGATGAAGGGCCTACTCTAGAGTCAATGTGATTGGCTTGGTGATGCTCTGGTGCTCTCAATGGACATTCACTGTTCCTTTGGGTCAAACCATATGGACTTTTGTATTGTATTGCTTCCAAAATAATTTGAGTAGTCTGTCGTTTTGGTAGTCCGTGAGTAAATTGTTTAGTTAGTTTGTGAAATCTGTAAGTTGGCCATCCTGGCCTTTTGTTTTAAAAGAGGAGGAAGCTGAAAGATGCAAACAGATGACATGACTCCAGGATTGAGAGCTTGAGGAGGCCAGAAGTCACTGTCAAAACGTTGAGAGTTGGTGCTGGTTTCTAAAACGAGAGCTCTGTTAGACAGAGCTCTTCTTTAGCTAGCTTTAGAGGTCATTTTCCTGAACAGAGTCTGACTCAATGTTTATTTGATAGATAGAATCTCTAATAAAGACATGTATTGGAAAAGGAGGCAAGGTAGAGAGGATGTAACACTGTTCACACATAAACAATTCCTTCATTCAAACAAAAAAATGTAAGGTAGGTGGATCAGAATGGGAGGGGTCACTAAACTAAACTTGTACAGTAGCTTCAACCCTGACAGTCTATGGAGATGCAGTCTCTCATCCTACTACTGTACAAAACCTAATATTTTATGTCATCGTGAATAACTCTAGATTACTCCAGACTCTTCTTCCAACTGATGGACAGAGACGCACAGAGTAGATTGGCTTTTGGTGTGCCAGGTGGAGAAAGAGAGAGAGAGAGAGACAGTTTCCTGTGTGACCCTTTCCTTTGGATCTTATGAATAAGCTGATTGTTGTTTGGTCTCACAGTGATGTCCGTTCTCTGTAACTCGTTGTCTTTGGTTCATGTTGTATCTTTATAACAAAAAATGAAAATAATCAGAGGTATACATACGTCTGATATTGTTGTGAGTTGTACTTTCAGTGTATGCCATAGAATTAAGATTGATAAAAAAAAAGAAACAGATAGAAAACAACAACTGGCAAACAGATGACAATTTCTTTGTGTTTTGGATGCCTATCATGCATGTTATACATTCTGCTGTAGAGCTGTGTGTTTTGTTGATTTGTGACATAAATATGTGTGTGGCACACACTGCTGTTAGTGACATCAAATAAATGCCTACATGCACACACATAGTGTGTGCTTGTGGGCATTTCTTTGTGCAGGTGTGTGACCGTGCGTGCGTGTTGGCACAGCAGTGTGTAGACCCTAACTGCCTTCATCTTGGCAGGTTTCCTCACACACAGGCGTCACTAATCCCTGCTCTCTTTCAACACAATTAAACTCCTCTGCCTTCTTTTGTGTCTGTCACATCAACCGAGGGGAAGAGGCCAGCTGTCCCCACTTCAGCCCCTAATCTCCTCAGCCATGACAACCAGAGCAGCCACGCAGAGTCCCTGTGTGTATGTATGTGTGTGTGTGTGTGTGTGTGTGTGTGTGTGTGTGTGTGTGCTGCACATGCATTGTGAATTAAACCTGAATCTCTGTGTGAAAGGTCAGGAGGGGGCTGATAGCTCAGATGGTGGTCACTGGCCATTGAGGGTTCGCAAGGATAGCCAAGGTGTAAGCATTAATTCATTACAATTCTAGAGTGTGAGTGCAACTAAACACACACAGGTACTGAATATTCTGTGGGTTTGGTATCTGTGTGGATCTATTTAGCTGGTGCCAATTCATCTAACCACTTACTAAAGAACATTGGTGCATGTGTCAAACAACTGATCACCACATGCATAATAAGTATACTAAGTAGAAAGGTTTAGTATGTCTGTACAGCAGGTGGCAGTGTGCACAGTTTCAGATGCTGGTCCAGACTCCAGACAAAGAGGAGAAAGGAGGAGTGGAAGTGGTGGACGAAACAGCCCATAGAATACCCTAAAGTATGACTATCGAGGCATTATTGTAATGTGTCACTTGACTTGGAGGGTTTGGGCGATGAAAAACCAACTATGTAAAAAAAACTATGACTGGATATCCAGTGTTATACAAAACCTTCAGGATTTTTTTCATGTAGTTATATAGGTTAAATAATATATTACTGGTTAAAGCCACCAGGTGACAGTGTTAGGCCTTCAACATGAGAACCTGTTGGATTGACCAACTGAGCTAACTGACCCATTTGGGCTGAGGTAACCTAACTAGCAGCATTTCTCTCTTTCTGGTCCTGATGACAAAAAAACTGTCTGGGAAGGTTCTCTTCTGAATTGTTGAACCAATCCAGTAAATGTGGAGGAGGAGTTAACATGGCGTGTTGCCTTGTTAACACTTTACACTCAAGGGAATTGGCCTACAATGCCTTGCAAAAGTATTCTTCCCCCTTGGTGTTTTTCCTATTTTGTTGCATTTTAACCAGTAATATATTATTATGGACTTGGTCTTTTACCAAATAGGGCCATCTTCTGTCTACATTGTCACAACACAACTGATTGGCTCATAAAGAAAAACCCTTGCAATTTTCAGGGACCACTTTTGACTTGTGAGTGCTACCTTCAAAACTACTAGCTAATAAGTATACAACATTACTTGATCATCTTTTTAACGTCCAAAAGCGGAAGTCTTGTTGCAGGCTCTCTTTCCATTTCCCCTGAAACCCGGATGCATCCAGTTGTTTCGAACCCACAGAGGGTGAGGCTGAGGTGACCCCTCTACCCTCTTTCATTAACCAGTGGCCCATAGTACCTACCATTGTGTACGCCTGCCTGATGATAACTGTGTCATTCAACTGGGAGCAACAATCTTCTACCACAGGACATTTGAGCATGTCCCCAGACTAGGCTACTGATGAACATTTCAGAAAGAATGTGAGAGTCTTATTCATCAATAGGCCTATTTGCATAATCTTTTATATACATAAACAATTATCTCATGTATTGATACTTTTATGGAATGACCTCATGTGTGACTGTAGACAGTGTTGGTGATATGCTTACTAACTCGTAATAACTCCTTTATAAAGTAATTACTCAGAGGTAGGCTTACAGAGGCTGACTGGGCACCATTTTCCCTAGCAGAAGACAGCCAAACTTCTCTGCCAAGGTCATCAGCTAAAAATTTGACCATACCCCTTCATGCAAAAACAGAAGGGAAGGGCCAATGTTGAAGGGGGAGGTTTTACTATTTTCCAGTAAAGGCCTCGCGGGACTATCAAACTAGCAGTAGCTGTGTGAGAGAGAGAGGGGTGAAGAAAGAGGAATCAAAACATCCCGACCATACCGACAGAAGGAAAATTCAGGGAAAGCAGCAAATAAATATATAGGCCTAAAACGTTGAGACTGCGACAAAGAGAAACAAGGTCGTCGACTGTAATTATTGTGGAATATGAGCTGTTAAAACGTTGAATGCCAAATTATTGATGCAACCTCTCGCAGCTCTTTAATCAAGTTACTCCTCAGTTTATGTTTACAAATACATCTGGTTTTGATTTTAGAAGCAAGTAAAGAATGTCCGGCTTTCATCAATGCAAATTGCTGTTTAAACAATTATATTTTTGATCCATAATTTTGCATTTGGAAGCGTACTTCCTACCGGTGTAGCTACTTCAAGAATCAAGGAAAAGTGATACAGGGGAAAATAGGGCCTTTTTGGTAGTTTTTAGCCGGTGTCGTGGTCGAGGAATGGCACTCCGAGTAGAGGCATATGCCCAACTGCTGTTGCTCGTGTTGGCATGGGACCTGAGCGTGCAAGGAGCGGCGCAACAAGATGTAAAACCAGAGGTGAGTGAGTCATACCCTAGTCTTGGTAGGTCACTCGAAAATAATTAGCAGGGATTGTTGGTTTGTTGCCAGATTCATCAGAGTTAACGGCTACCCTGAAACGATATGCCTTGCTCAAGGGCACAGCGACAGATTTTTCACCTTGTCGGCTCCCGGAGTCGAACTCACAACCTTCCAGATTACGGGCACAACGCTAGGTTAACCGCTACATTTGAACACCGCAATCAATCTTTGAAAAGTTAGATGGGCAAACTATGTAAAAAAATATTTTTTTAAAACGAAAAGAAATATACAAAAATAAGAATATGCATCGTGATGTTTTAACCTGATGTATACCAATAGGCCCTACTGTTAACCTTAAAAGCGCAAATAACATATTCTTATTTTAAAAGTGCCAAATTGGTAATGATCGCAAAGAGACACTGTCTGTCAAGCAGTAACACTTTTTATTTGATTATTTTGTAACACAAGTAAATGGTTTAAAATCCACCAAATAAGCATATATTTTAAACTGTTCACAAATTTATAGTCAAAATTGATGTTTCAAAATAGACGTTTTTGTATGTTTTGAACATATATTTTGATACATTTCCCCCATAGCCTTTTTATAAACATTTGTGTATTATTCATTTAAAGTGTTGTGTTTCTGTGATACCCAGAGCTGAGAAATTGGCAATTGAGCTAATCTGATATATAGCCTACCGGTATGACCTAAGATGTCACCTATATGGGCTATATGCGATATGCCATCAGACTTTTGGAACGCTATAGTCTATCAACTCAGTTCCAATTGCATCTGAAAGATGAGACTCTCGACTTGGTATAGAGACATTGACAGGAAGCTAAATATGTATTTACATTTTAGAGTTATTTTTTAGTTATAGTGGCAGCCATGCCCCAGGGGGCAAATCTGGGGTGGCTCCATGCCTATATCTTTTCAGGGTACATAGATCTACCTCTGTGGCAAATTTGGTGCTTTTATCACAACGTTTTCTATTGAGTTCACATTTTCAGCTTAGCCCATGCACCACTAGTATACACAATATCTAATTTTGAATTCCTCCATATTAACACAGAAATCATGGTAAGGTGTTTTTGTGGTTGGTAACTAGTTTCAGAAGGATAAATAGAGTTTTGAAGTTGTTACATTTCAGACCTCTTGGGGTCAGAATTTACCCCTGTTGGCGCTTTTAGGGTAAAAAAAAGTTGTACCCCAAAAGCAAGGAAATCATTTCCCAGGTCTGGGATGATAGACTGTCAGTAGAACTGGGGGGATGTGGGATGGATCTGAGCTCAGCTAAAGGAAGCAAACCACAATGATGATGGCTCACATGACAACATTTAGAAATGCTGAGGAGGCAAAATAAAAGAAAAAGAGAAGAAGAAGAAGACAAATGGGGAGAAATACCATGGTCTCTGTATTGTGGTCAGGTACAGAGGCACTTTCTGAAAGGAGAGGGGATTTAGAGTTGCGGGTAGGATCCAAGTTCAAAGACATGCGGAAATATAATTGTTGACATCTGTGCTGAGTTAGGGTTGAACTGGGGGAAGGGAATTTTACAGAGAGAAGGGCTGTGTCTGAAGAGATGATAGTCTGATGGTCAGCAGTGGAGGAGGACTCACCAGCGGTCAGTATCCCTAGTCAGAGAGAGATTAAGTTCCTTTGTTTTTCGACTACAGGAAGTCACCATCATGTTAAAGCCCCACGCAACCTATACTCCTACTGACAGACATCTATCATTTAGGAAAACACAGTAAGCTAGATCATATCACATGAAGCTCTGACTACATCACTGTAGATGTCAAATGTCCT